ATGCTCGGGTACAACGTCTTTTTTTAAGTTATTCGATTGCAAGTATCAGTGCCGTAATAACCAGCAACCGTGTCCAACTTGGTTAAATTCCACAGCCTGCTCAACATTCGTTGTTAGCCAGCTGACGTGCAATATGCTTGGAAGCGGAGCTCACGATACCAGATATGGAAGGCTCGATGATTATATTGTTGTTGCCAAACGCCGCGTGGCCAATGGGGTGGCAGAAATTTGAATAGCGTCACTTTGGCGTCATGCATGCCTGAATGACCTTGAGATAGTTCGTACAAAATATTCTACACAACTTTGCGGGCATGTAGCTCGGGAGCTAGAGACCTTTAGTTAGTAAGAAGGTCGGGACTGTGAACTGCACCGAATGATCTTCAAAATGGCTATTTCAGCTCAAAATCCCACATAAATGCGGTACACTTCCTTAAAGATGTAATGCAAATCACGGTATTCTAATCAAGTCTTAATATTGACATATATTCTTGAGCCCTATGGCATATCTAGTATATGCGGGCCCCCGAACATGTGTGTTTCCGCGTCTTATCCTGAAGTCTTGGCACAAAACGAAAACATTAAAGTTATTGTGACGGGGTCCGTTACTAAACCTTACTTGCCCATAATCTGTTCGGCTCTGATCGCAGCTTAAATGTTTCCTTCCAAGAGTTTCCAATCCTGATAGAACTGCACGGTGTTAGCACATATAGGCAGTTTTAATGGATGATCAGGCACTTGCTTTAAACCCGGATACAGCGGTAATGTTGCCCTGTTACCCCATTTTTTAATCGGATTGTCTGCTTGCTCATTCAGGTGCACGGCTTTAAAAGATTCATTGGAGGGGGAGGGGGATGAAAAATCTGTTAAGAAATAAATATTAGATACTCTAGTACCCTAAGCGAGCTTTACACGATTCCATCACCACATGGGAGGGGCCCTGGCACGAGAGGAAGGCGAAGAGGCCTTGAAGGACGCAACACTCGTCCATCTATGGGCCTCTTGATTCCAGTTGCGGTCTGCGGCTGACTGGCCTGGCCCCATGCCCTGCCGGCTGGCACTGCGGTCCTTACGATGGCCGTGCTGCCATGGGCGGGGAGGCCGGCCGACCGCGCCGGTGCCGGCGGTGCCTGACGGTGGGAGCAGACCGCGGATTACCCAGCTGGGGCAGGCCCGGCACGATAAGCAAAGCCCGTCGGCTTCCCTCTAACATGCAGGCGCTGATTCCCCCTCCCCCGGACGGCGGCGGCTGCCTTGAAGTCAGGCCTGGGAACGTGTGCCCGGCCGACAGAGGCGGTGAGAAAAAACTGCACGTGCTCAGTGGCGGACCGACACAGTGGGCCGGCAGCACACAAAGGAGAGACCTGCCGAGTCATCGCCTCACGCGCCAGACTCCCTGTGTCGACAGACGCTGCCGGTGACCCGACGGCCCGGCACGCCTGATCTGACCGAAGCCCGCCGGCCTCTCGGGGTCGCGGGTCAGACAGACGCGGCCTGTGACCCGACGACCCGGCACGCCTGACCTGACCGAAGCCCGCCGGCCTCTCTCGGGGTCACGGGTCAGAGAGACGCGGCCCGTGACCCGACGACCCGGCACGCCTGATCTGACCGAAGCCCGCCGGCCTCTCGGGGTCGCGGGTCAGACAGACGCGGCCTGTGATCCGACGGCCCGGCACGCCTGACCTGACCGAAGCCCGCCGGCCTCTCGGGGTCACGGGTCAACAGACGCGGCCCGTGACCCGACGACCCGGCACGCCTGATCTGACCGAAGCCCGCCGGCCTCTCTCGGGGTCGCGGGTCAGACAGAAGCGGCCTGTGATCCGACGACCCGGCACGCCTGACCTGACCGAAGCCCGCCGATCTCTTCCGGGGTCACGGGTCACGCATGCTGGGCTTTTGCGGCCGAGAAATGCTAGCAACATTATGCTGTATGTGTTTTTAGGGAAGACATGTGGATATCACACAAGCATCACGCACATACATATATTTTATACAGATATCACACATCAACATGAGCCTGTAGAATAAAATGCACCACGCAAATAGGGAAATAGGGCATACCTTTTCAGGCAAAAAGGGAAATTAATCCTGATAGGCACTGTCCATAAATGCAGCAGGTGTGATAGGGTGAGCAGTTTTAGTGTTGACTGACATAGCAGAGACCATCAGAAATTAATTTAACATAATGTTAATTGTCTGGAACATTTCAACTTGCTTCATGGACGGACAGGAATAACCAGCGTTTAAAAAGTCTAGTGGTGACCGGATCAAACGTAAATGAGAGTCAAACACATATTTACCGCAGTGAGACTAAAAATACAGGCAATACGGGCGGCAAACGATGCATACATACACACCGCGGTGAGAATCAAACATACACACCGCGGTGAGAATCAAACATACACACCGCGGTGAGAATCAAGCATATACACTTCATCTACAACGTACATATATTTTTAATCAATTCAATCATTGCTAATCATAATTGCGCAACCACATTTACAAGTTGAGGTTGTGGGTCAGGCAGACAGTGTCGCTACGGTGACAATACATTGCATGCATTTCTGATGGTCTCTGCTATGCCAGTTAAAGTTGGCACTGCCCATCCTGTCATGCCTTTGTACGATTTTTGCAATAGATATATTACGGGCCTGCCCATCAGCGGAACCTGATGCAGCTGCGAACAAAACATTCACAGAAGTAACACGCAGTCCTTCGTTTTGCGCTCCGCCATGACATTTTTCTTGCCTTATTATTACATCCATCGCCACTTGACATTTTTTTTTTAATCGTGTTCTTTCCGATCATATACTACCCATTACACTGCCCAGCATTTTTGGCAAAGCCCGTACAGTTTCCACGATAAGAGCATAAGAAACCCAAAAACTGTCATCGTGCAGGTGTCCTCCATTCAACCGGCGGTCTGGATGACGTACACATGCTCGATCCTCACGTGTAAAATGTCATGACGCATATATGCATTATTTATGCATATCAAGCTCACAAGGGGTAAATGAGGCAAGAACGTCCGGCAAAAATGTAATGATATTATCAACATGTAAGCTCCATTTTGCTCGCACACACAATCACGCAAGTTTGACCTGAAATACTTACCATGCCCAGCTGTCACGCGCTGTACTTCCAGCCGAAAACGTGCGACCAACCGCGCTGGGACCGGATCGGAATGGTGATAGCGCCAGCTCGCTTTGAAGGCCCACTTAACCCCAATAAGTATTATGGGGTGTAAGAGTCTGAAGGAGAAGATCTTTTCAAAATTAAAACTTGGAGGCTGGTTGAGAAAAATGATGCAGCACGTGGCTTACATCTTTCGTTAGCGAGGTCTCGTAGTGTGGTCCAAACCAGGACATGCAAATAATTCAAAGTCTCGGAGATCAGGAGACTCAAGAAACATCAGAGACCGAGTCTTCCAATACTCTCACAAATGCAGCGTGAGCACTTGGAATATTCTCTTTCAACATTTTAACATTTAGCATGATTGATTCCATAGCATTCTGCATGATCGCCACAGCAATGCGTCAGGTTTGAGCGTTCAACCATTGCAAGCTTGAAATTATTAGGGGAATAGGCTGCAATAGTTCCCAGGACAAACCCGTCCTGGAAACACGTTCTGTCCACCATGACCTCTTAGAAATCAGCAGCCCGCACTACCTTTCACGGAAGTGGGAGCCGGACAGGGGCGTGAGAGGCAGCACCCGTCCCCGGCCGGCCAGCCCGCCCCGTCTTCCCACGCACGCACCGTCCGCCGCCCCCGCCACAGTCGCGCGTGCCCCGCCCTCCCCCGCAGAGCGCGGTCCGTGTTCGCGACCCGACACGGAGGCGGCGACGCGTCAGTGGCTCGGGCGAGGCGCCACGGGGGGCCCGCCCCGCACGAACGTGCGATGCACGAGCGCCCGGTAATGGGCCGCGCCGCGCCAGCCCGCAATCTGCAACAATGCATGCTGCCGCGCCGTCGCCGCCACCCGCTGTGCGTGCGCTCGTAATTGGCGGAGCGCTGCCGACCGCGTGCGGCCGCCTCCCTCAAATGGCGCGACCTGGCCGTTAATTCGGCGTCAAGCGACCGCGCTCGCCGCCGGCACAATGACTCAATGGCGCGCGCGGTCCGTGACGCTGCGAACGTGGGAACCGGCCGCCGCCCCTGGCCGCTTCCGGCGCCCCGTTTTAATTAGGCGCCCCCATTCATTTATCTCCATTGTTGCGCGGCGGCGGTAATCTGCACCGATCGACTCATCCAACGTCAGCAGCGCGCGCCCCGCCCGCCGCAGCCGGCCGGGCGCGACCCTGCCGGCGACCTGCCTCCGCCCGCCCGCCCGGCGCGCGCGCGCGCGTGCGCCGCCGCCGCTGCCGCCGCCGCCGCGCGCGCGCCTTGCGTGAGATGGCGGCGGCGATAGGCGGCCGTCGTGCCGCGGCGGCGGCGGCGGCGGCGGGCCGGGCCCCGCTCGTGAGCCGGTCGGGCCGCATTAGCCGCCCGCCCGCCGGCCGCTAATCAGATCCGCCCGGTGTGAAGGCATCCGCGGCCAGCGTTCCCACGTCGGCTGGCCGCCCGCCGCCGCCAGCGTGTGCTCAGCAATTACTCGCCGGCGGCGGTCCCCACCGAGCGAGCGCCGTTGTCTGAAGTCGCTGTCACCGTGCTCTGGCCATTCACGTCGCTGGGATGCAGTCCTACGTGTAGGAGACTGTACGGCCTATCCGTTGGTGCGCGGTTGGTTTCTGTGCGTCGCTGCAATCGTCTGTCTTTCGACATTTCGCTGCAGAATGCTCGGCGGGGGCCGCCACCACTGAAGGCTGCCGCCGCGGCCGCGGCGGCATGCCCGCCTCGAGGCATACACAAGATTATGTGGGAACTCAATCTTTCCCACGCTCCGTCGGCACGCGGCCAAACTGGCTCCGCCCCCTCGGCACGCCGGCTCGGCACGCTCGCTCGTCTCGCCGCGCGAGGTTACATATATGGGTAGCCGTGCGCCAGTGCTCGTTATTTGGCTGACGTGAGGCGTGGGGAGAGTTTGGGCGTGGAGAACTTGTCATTGAGCGACGGGGGTCATGGCGCCGAATACGCCGATCGAAGTAGAACAGGAGCAGCCGCTGTCCAGGACGTACCAGTATCGCAAGGTAAATAGCACTCCAGTGGTTCTAGCACTTGTTACATCCTTGTCCGTCAGAGGCCACCGGGCCTTCGCTGACAGTGTGGTGCCGCGTGCCATTTGCGGGGTTGCGACGTTTGACTTGAGATAACCCGTGGCTGCCCCTCTGCAGGTAATGAAGCCGATGCTGGAGCGCAAGCGTCGCGCGCGCATCAACAAGTACCTCGACGAGCTGAAAGACCTGATGGTCAACGCGCTGGCCAACGAGGGCGAGAACGTCACCAAGCTGGAGAAGGCGGACGTGCTGGAGCTGACGGTGCGCCACCTGCGCAAGCTCAAGCAGAACCACCTGCTGGGCGTGCTAAACCCCAACGTGCTGCACGAGCGGTATATGGCCGGCTTCACGCACTGCGCCTCGCAGGTCAGCACGTTCCTGGCGGCGTCGGGGCCCGCGGCCGACGTCGGCGTCTCGTCCCGCCTTATGAGCCACGTCTCCAAGTACATGCAAGCCATGGAGAAGGTGGCTGCCATCCACAGCGGCGGCTTCCCAGCGCCGGCGCCCGCGGCCGGCGCGCCGCGCCTCATCACGCCGCCGCTGACGCCGCCCGGGCACCCGGCCGGACACCCGACGGCGCACCCGGCCACGCACCCGCTGCACCGTCCGATGCGCGTGCACTGCGAGATGTCTCCGCCGACCAGCTACTCCGACCTCTCACCCTCGGGGTCGGAGGTCAGCTCGCGCGCCTCGCCGCGCTCCGAGCCGGCGTCCGCTGATGAGGACAAGGTGTGGCGGCCGTGGTGAGCCGGCCACGGCGCGCCGGTGGGCGATCCGTCATTACTGTGTGGAGCTGGCAGTTTCGCGATGTTAAGTGTGCGCCAGGCTCATGTGTTTTTGTCACCCCTATGCGGCTGTTGTACAGATCGGTGGCCTTATTTAGCTGTGATATTTGTTCACGTTGGGGACCAATAATAAATGGTCTCGATGTTACACGTATTTGTGGACTGGTGCGGATTTGGTAGCTGCGCTCGAAGCGACGGTGACAGGGATGGAGGGCACGTGCTTCAATTGTGCCTCCGGGGGACACGTGGGGCGCGGTCTCCCGCGGCGGCGGTTGGCCCGCGCGGCGTGTCGGAAATGAGCACCCGATGCTCCCAGGGTGGGCCTAATTACCTCCACCCGCTGACCCTTCCTGACCCGCCGCTTAATCTGCCCCTGCCCACGCTGGGAAAGGGCATTTCATCGCTTTCGAAGGCAATTACATGTCGCGCTGGCATCGCCCCCCGCGCCCTCGCTCATTAGGTCCAAGTTCCCTCACTGGACGGCGTAAGATCGCCGCTCCTGCCGCGCTGAATCATCTACTCCTTGGGTTTCACGTCTCAAGGATTGATGACGTCACCGTCCAAACCGTGAGAAAATCGGGCAGGTGGGGACCATTAGGCTCCAAGCAGCTATTGGCGCGCACGTGCTAGCGATAACAAAACACAATCTCATTTAGCCTCTACCACGGGCGCCGGGAAAACCGGTCTGGCGCGCGGCTAGACAACGGGCCGGCCACCCGCCAGGCAGGTCCGCGGTAGAGGCTACTCGAGGGTTTAACATTCGCGGAGATGGTCGAAATTACGACTCGAGACGCTGGCGAGGTGAGCCTTAGCGCCCCGGTAATGCCAAGAGTTGTGTTGACAGTTGAGATATGAGCAGCCGTTTTTTGTCACAACCAAGGCTTGAGAACGGGCGAGTCGGCCGCTTCCCACGCTCGGCGCCGGCGCCCGGCACGTTCCCGCACGAGAGGCTCATATTAATGAGGTGGCCCGCGGCTGGCGGCCCGTCTTGAAGGGGCGCCGCACGCCGCCGGCTGGGGACGGGCGCACGGGTGCCGGCTGGCTGGGGACGGGTGGGCGCGCGGCGCGCCGCCGCGCACGCGGGGAGCGGCCGCCGCCACCGCAGGCGGGGGGGAGGGGGGACGGGCGGCATAATGGAGGGCGGGGAGGCGCCGGGGGCTCGCGCGTCCGGATGCGTTTGACGGCGGTTGCGGCGAATCTTTTCATCGATTTGTTTTTGTTGTCGCGCACGGATTTCGTGGCGATCTTGCTCGTGACGAAGTGTGTTGGTGCGTGCCATGCAGATGCGTGATCAGGCAAGAAGTGCAAGCGCAAGGAACGCATGTGCTCATTAGGCACAGATGATATCTTGATCAAACGATGAGAGGGGTATTTAAGGACCTGAGGTTTAATGCTAGTTTAGATGATGTTGCATACTGTAAATTGCAGTGCACTAAACCGTGCAATTGCACGTTATATTGCCTACCTGAATTACCCGGAGTTTCTGGCAATTTCATATGGTTCAGACGGAGCGCTGAGCCTCATGTTTTATTTAGTGTGATCATTTGTTGAGTCTTTACTAGTTGCTGCGCGTTCATGAATATTCATTTCGTATTCATGCGGAATTGATGCAGTTTTTGTCTTATCAAAACAGCGCAGTCTGGAATGATGAAAGGCATTATTAAAAATGTTCTTCGAAGATATACTACACAACGTGTTGAAGGTGCCTGACCTTTATTGTAGGTATACTAAGGCTGACGTCAGTTTAACCGATCTGCTTCTTTAGCTTTAGGTACCAACACTGGGCACATTATTGTTAAAATCTGGCCTTCCGAAACCGCGTGTGGCTTATTAATTATGTAGAAGAAAGTTGATGCATGTTTTACCGTCGCCTTTTGGACATTAGTTCTGTGTCAGGGGCACGTTCTTTACGATTATTAATGTTGAACGTATGTTTAGCATTTTTAAGATTAATAGTCACATCATTTGCTAAAAGCCTTTCATTTTTTGTTCGTTTTGATATGAACCCTCTGAGCAAAAACACTACATTTCGATATCACAGTAGTGTTTCTCCTGGACATGGAAGAACTTACGGCCATAACGACGAGTTGGGTTTTAGTGAGGAAAACAGGATAAAAGTGTCAATATTCCCGTTGTTTTGCGTTTTGTAAAGGATTGTGCCACCTTTGGGGCATGTTTCAAAAATATACTGCGGTGAAACCTCAGGACCAGTCGTGTCTAAAAGAGGCACTGAGTGTGCAACAGCAGCACTGACAAGGCATGGTAAGTAAATTAATTGCAATATTTGTTTAGCATAAGGCACGTTGTAGGCGTTTTGGCATGGCGCTCAGCTTCCTTTTGTCATCATGTTTTAATAGTTAATTTCTGTAATGGGTGATCTTGGCGCCTACAAGATATTCGAGTGTTATATGTATCGCAGTTTGAACGACTGCGCAAAGGAATTTTACGTCCACCTCGTTAACGGTAAAGAAAAAAAAACTGACTGCGAATACCAACGGTCCGAGCCGTAGAGCATCTGAAGTATGGCGGCCAGAACGTACTCTGTCGTTTATTGACATGAACAATGCCAGAAGAAATGAATGTTCGAGATTGACACAGCGGGTGGCGTACGACAGGTAGCGAGAGAGATATTGTGGAAGTTTGAGTATATACGCCAGTAGACCACGTGATATGTTGCTGGTATGTGCCTGATACGTAAACACAGCCTTGCATGAGAACAAACTGAGCACTCCATTCTCCTGCTTTTCTCCGAGGAATAAGGCTATTACTTCTGTCTTATGTATGTGACTAATGTTCCTCGCAAAATGCACTGAACAACTAACGTAAATAATGTTTCCCAAAGTCAAGGTCTCTTTGAAGAAAGTCATTGTGCTGCACGCCATAGGAGAGAATTAAAAGCCACAGTACAACGTCGAGTTGAATTGGCGCGATGCTGAGCTGATATGATGTATGATAATATCTGATTCCCTGACGACAGCGTGAACAGATCGCCTACCATTTAGTACACAACTATTTCGGTGAAGTGGTGTGCTGCAAATATTACATAGTACGCATTTTCCCGTCAGAACCACTGCTTGAATTTAACATCCAGAGTTGTTCAGAAGGATTTTGAGAAAGCTGGTATTACTAACCCAATCAAACACGTCTGATTGCACTATGAGTGAAAATTATATGGTTGGTGACATGCTTCTCATTGGCTAAAGTGTTCTTTATAACACTGATTTCGTTCGCGATAGAAAGCAAGTTTTTGAACGGTTTTGAACGTCTTTGAGCGGTCCTCAGTCCGTGATGTTTTTCTCAGACAATGCGAGTGAAACATGTGATTGAAAATAAATATATGGTTAAAGATGCTCAACTCCCGTAGCGGCGTGTCGTGATTTTTCAGATTATATATGTGCGTAAATATTTTGAAACAGCTCATCGTTGAAAAATTAATAAGCCAACCAGTTGCGTGAGCGCGCTCCCGGTAGTACAGGTAGTGCTCATGGTGGATAGTGTCCTTTGCAATCAAATGCACGCATACGTTTTTCAAGCATTTCTTTACAACTATTACGTCGCTGCCGCCGCAATTCTCACTTCATTTGATGCGAAGCTTTCGCACTCCAGCACTCGTTCCACGCAGGCTCGGGGGAAGCGGGCTGTGGTGACGGAGGCGTCGTGCTGCAGCCACCCGCTGTCTCCGGGGTGAAGGTCGTGTGACTCTACCGGCCAAGATCGCCACGCCGAGCCCCTGGGGTCGCCGACTCCCTTATCTCAGACGGAAAGCCGTCGCCGTGTCCCGGAAGGTAAGATCTGGCCCTGCGACCTCCGCGTGCAGGCCGGCTGTCTGGCAAAAGTGGCCGACAGTCCCACGAGCGCAGCACGAGGGATGCCGTGTCGCGGTAGAGCTCGCGCTTTTTTGCGAAGATAGGCCGCGAGATTATCGGGATACCTCTGGTGCATTGCGACAGATCTCTCCCGATAGAAAAGCAGCGGGCTTTGGATTTATAGGTCCGGCGTGAGCTTTGCTCCATTGCACCAGTGTTGCTGCTTGGCGCCGAGCGGCCCAGTGCAGGTTACAGCGCCATCGATTTCTCCTCTGGACGTGTTGCAACTTAACCTGCAGCAGACACATGGACATCAGAGCAAGGCGCGGGAACGCAATTGACGGAGGGAGGGGGTCACCAACATCGCTGAAGGGGGGGGGGGGCGAATCACTAGTGGTGGAGTGCTAATCACGTGTATGAATTCGCGTGTGAATAAATGCTGACCATATCAATCGCTGCAGACGCGTAAAAATCAGCAAACTGAGACCAAAATCATACGATGTTAGCAGGGTGCTGTGTGAGAAATTTGGCATGCCTACGGCGCTCGAAATATTTTTAGTGAAGATTTTGGGCTGAGTCCTCGCTCACTGCGAATTGCAGTATACACTCCTGCCCAAGTGGGCGTGTGTTATCGGAGTATTATATGTATTATAACTGAATGGTTGTCAAGCCCACATGTTGAGAACTGCTACCGAGTGCGAGAAAGCATAGCGCCTGACATGTAACTATTGGCCTATCGGTGAGCCTGCACAAGCCCAGCATGGCCCCGCCGCTGACCCAGTCCCAAACCGATGGGACTACCCTGGTGGTGGTGGAGGATGCTGGGACACTTGCCCTGCCTGAGGCGCCTCTGCGAGAGATTTGGCACGTGCTGTTTGTCTCAAGCCCCTTAGTATGGCTGAGAGCACCTACAAGGTCGCCAAAAGGGACCAATATTGTCATTCAATGGATTTCCGATCCTTCTGCTGTTATGCAAAGACATGAATGACATGCATGCATAGTTTGCTAAATCCCAACGTGTTTCTCTTGGGGAGAATCAGGAGCTTTCGCATTATCAAATGATAAAAAATGAAATGCAACACTTATCCAACAATGCCGCCTTGCTGAGCTATATCTACGAACGCCACTGCCGTGTTTTGGCACATTGCAATTTTCGTGAAGTACAAAAGCTGATCAGTATTGACCTCTTGCTAGATCCGTTGACTGAAATAATAGCTCCTGCATCATAGAAAGTAAACAAGTTTATAGCCACCTTCGCCCAGCTTCCAGGTAGTGCCTAATTATTTTCGTGCTTGTAAGGTGTTTAAGAATATTTCACTCCGTCCACAAATGGCTCAGAAGG